ATACAAATGTAGTGTGGAGTTTAGTAAGACAAATTTGTTCAGAGAATATAAACCTCACCTGATAGATGGAGATAATTCCTAACTGAAAATAGTATTAGATAATAATAAATAAATAGATTGAAACTCAAGATAGCCAGCTAATACACAATATAGTTAGTGGATACACCAGAAATGAATAATAATTTAATATGTAGAATACTATATGAGAGTGGACCGACACAGGTCATAAACGTGTAATCGATCAAAGAGTATCTAGCGGACTAAAAAAATCGAGTTGAAAAACAAAGATTGTTTACATAATAACCATAAGAACGCTATTGAAGACTGTATAGTGCAAAACTAAAACAAACTGGCTTATCGACGTCAGATAAATTTTCTTGGGATCAAAAAAATCTAACAATATGGTAGTCAAATACAAAAAGTATAACCGAAATACATGGTATAAGCTATTAGAGTGACTAAAAGGTAATAGAAAAAAATTAAAAATTAAAAGTAATAAGTAAAGTGGCTAATCTACCACCTAAAGGGTGGTAAAAGTGATAAACAAATGGATCTGTCTTCTAAAGAACGCATGCTAAACTTAATCTATTTTTGTCTTGTTTTGGGGTGTTCCATATGTAAAAAGTGTATAGCAAAGTTTGATCGTTGTAGTCCTTGTGTGGTTAGTATGTATTTTGTAAGATATAAAATGCATTCATTGTGATATTTTATTTTTTTAATCTAAATAAAATATGGATAAATCATTTTGTTTATCTTCAAGTTTTTCCATTCACATGGACAAGGATCCATGTTTAAATATCTCATAGAATTGAGATAAATGTCAAAATAAAACCATCTATGTAAATGGTTCTCAATGTTTCTAGCTAACCACAGTAGTTGGTATATTCTTTTTTTATATTTTGCGTGGTTTTTTCTAAAGCCGAGAATAAGGAATTTGAAAATTAAGTATGGAGAGCATCCGTTACCAATGAAAAAAAGTGTCAATTTGAATGTTTCAGTGTCAGTTATAGTTATGTTTCAGAATATTATCTGTATGGATAGTGGCCAGGTGTTCATAGGGTGGAAGCATATTCCATTCATTTCTTTGTAAACGATGTATCGTTCTCTATCAAGACTTGCGTTGGAATATCTCTATAGCATGTTCATCCTAAAATAGCAGTTAAGTGTGTAAATCATGCGTATAGTATCTTCGTGTAAATATGTCTAAGCATTTGTTTAAGGGGTATAAACAAAAGCCCTCTAGTAATTTTCTGGTGTATTTATAAGCGAATTATAAACTATAAGCGTCGAACGAATAATAATATAACAATTTGGCTTATTGATAGATCATGTAATAAAGTAAAAAACATAAACAACATAGGCGGTATATTTTATGTGTAAAATAATTAAAATACAAAATTGTAACATGCGGGTGGGGGTAGAAGTACGTCCTACCACCTGAATAAGAACTAGAGCAAACAGGGGATGTTCAGTTATTGTGATTGGCAATGTATTTAGTGCGGATAAGTCTATCTCTGAGGGAAAGTGTGTTAGTGTGTGTGAGGGTGAGTACCGGTGGAAATAGTGTGCAGAGTTCTGGGTCATTGTGGATAAGGTGCCAGTTGTGTAATATCGCGTTGTTGATACGTATACCTTGTTCATTGTAAGGTGTGACTATGGGGAAGATGTGGGTGTCATCGGCTTCTTTGTTTTTGTGGATAAGATTTTTCTGTGTGCGTAATAGGGCTTTAGTGATGTTCCTGTTGATAATATCAAGATGGTACCCCTTAAGAACCAATTGGCGCGCTAATGTGCGGAGCTCCTTATATAGGTGGTGGGAGTCAGATATAAGCCTATTGTATCTGATTGCTTGGCTGTGAATGAGACCTGATGTGATATGATGTGGGTGGTATGAACTGAAATGTAGAAGGCTCATTGTGTCGATCGGTTTATGGTGAATTGTACTCTGTATTTTATCTAGATGGTTCTTGTAGAGAGTTAGGTCCATAAAGTCAATGGAAGTATCTGAGTGGTTAAAAGTAAATTTAATGGTGGGGTGCAGGTTGTTCATAAATGTTATAATATGTTCGAGATCTTCTATAGTGCCTGTGAATATGAAAAAAATGTCATCGATGAATCTTTTGTAGAACATGATGCTGTCTTTAAATTGTCCAGTGATGGCTTCGTCTAATGTGCACATGAATATGTTAGCGTATGGTGGTGCCATGCGTGTACCCATCGATGTCCCTGTCATTTGTAAATAGTTGCGGTCGTCAAACTGGAACGTCGTGTTTGTCAGATGGTTTCAATCATAATCTGTATATATGCTACAGGTGGTGAATTGGGTGGTCTTAGGTCATTTGGTATGTTATTAAAAAGTAGTTTGATGGCTTCTATACCATCCTTATGGGGTATGTTAGTGTACAGGGAGGGTCATGTCAGCGGTGACGAAGATGTATTTTTGAGGTGGTAGTGGTTGATTTTGGAGCATGTGAAGAAATTGTGTGGAGTCTCTAAAATATGATGGAAGTGTTTCGGCTAGTGGTTGTATGAACTTAGTCACAAAGTATGAGAGGTGGTCTGTGGGACCATCGCAAGCAGATACAATAGGTCGGAGAGGAATTCCAGTTTTGTGTATTTTGGGGAGTCCATAGAACAGGGGAGGTCGACAAGGATTGTTTGGACGTATGTAATTTGCAGTCTTTTCGTCAATCACTCCTTTGAATAAGATGTAATCAATTGTCGATAGAACGTTCTGTGCCATTTCTATAGTGGGGTCGCATAGTAGGAGTTTATATGTGGTATCATCTGCTAGCATGGTGTTAATTTTCTCTTCATAATCTCTCCTGTTTAAGATGCAGATGCTACCACCTTTGTCAGCATTCTTGATGATGATATTGTTATTATTTTTTAGTGTTAAGATTGCTTCTTTCATGTTTTTCGTTAGGTTGGGGTGTGCTACCTTCATTCTCTCATTTAGCACTGTGTCCGTTTCACTTTTTATCCTTTCAAAGAAAAGATTTAAATTTGCATTGTTGGATGCAGGAGGGTTCCAAACCGTGTCAAGTCTCCTCTTCATTGGTGTTTGTTGGGGTGGTCCTTTATTGCCCTTAAAATGAACTCTCAGTAGCATATTCCTTTTTAATTTTGATATTGCATCTTTGAACATCTTTTCCGAAACGTATTGGTCGTTTTGAATAAATCCCAACCCTCTGCTTAATACTTGCCTCTCCGCTTCAGTGAGGTTGTAGTCCGATTTGTTCGTAATCATTTGATTAATCATTTCCGCGGTGGCTCTTGTTTTCTCCACCCTTATCTTATAGTGAAACGATCCTCGGATGTTACGCATATCAAACAAATCTTTCATTGTAATCGGACTGAATGTCCTTTGTTCATCAGATGGTGTGAAGATTGATCCGTTGTTCTAGAAAATTATGGAGAAAGTTGTTTAGCGTTGTAGGTGGTAAGCTATGGGTGGTTCATCAGTACAGTGTCTCTATAGGTATACGTACACCCGTAATTAGGTGAGTAGAGAGTCAGTCCGCTACTTAGGAATTTAAAAATAACAAGCTTTATTGTAACCCATAATAATGTGTATATCAAAGTAATCTGTGTTACGTCATTAAATATATATGTTATGAAATGTGTGTTATAAAATGTATAGTTGTAATAAAATGAATCAATGCATTCAAAAATTATAAATTGTGTAATAAATTAAATGTATACATCAGACACATCCTCGCATCGAACCCGGAACCTTAGACACCGCAGGCTGCGGATAATCCACTAAACTACAAGAACTTGTACGATACGGACAAAATAAAATATATGAACTAACTAAAATAAAACAAATATGCCACTAAAAAATGGAGATTGAGACTACAGATGTAATAGCATGGTGAATAGGCTGGTGATGTCTAGTCGTTTAGTCTTAAATATGTAAATCATTGTTTTACATTTTATTATTTTGGTAAAAGGTCTTCATCAAAAACTTGATTAATCTTAATAAAAAAAACTCTACTCACCTTGCCACCATTAAAGCAAAAAGAGGGAAGGAACCTCTTTATTAGTGTCAAATTATTTAGGAAAATTAAATTTCGAGTAATAAAAGGTTTTTTTAGTATATGGTAGCAAATAAGCGTTTACTAAAAATGAATGAAATAAAGAGCCCAAACAAATAATATAGAAATGGTCTGTGTTGAGCAGACAAGACCTTGGTGCCGTCAACTTGGTTAACAAATTTTTATGTCTACTTATCTGTTATAATTTTAGTATTGTCATATGACGCATTAATGCAATATGAAAGATCAGAGTTTACATATTTTTTAAAATTTGTTCTACAAATGTTTGATTGTAAATTAATTTTTTTTTGTTTGAAATGTATTTGTACTCAGTTGCTAAGTTGTTTATAATAAACTTAGTTATTTTTAATAAATTTATTTAGTTGTGTACATTTAACTTTTTAAGTTAACAGTTTTCTTTTCTAAAAAAAATTAATCAAAGGTATACCAAAAAATTGATAACTTCTGTATAATATAAGTTAACTTCATCTTAATCTTAATAGTTCATGTTATAAAAATTATTACAAGGATTTAGTTGATACTTTCGTCAATTTAAAGCATGATGAAGTGTTATTATTTTGTGTCAGTAACTAAAAACGTATTGTGTTGAACTTAAGAATGTCAAAGAAAATGGTTCCGCTTTACACTGTTATGACTTATGTCAGTCGTAAATTACTCAAATAATGTTAAGTAATAGTTAAGTAGTAGTTGGTAAATTATTTTACCTCCTCATACTTTTTATGTTAATTTTACAGATGGATTAATTTTTTCAATTTGAAGGCGTTTTTCTAAAAGGGTGTTAGGTAAGGTTTTGTAACATTGAATTGTGGATAACAGCCACTATAAATTAGTTATGTAACAGACCGACCGTAACCCGTATTACGGGTTGCTTTTTGTTAATATACATATAAATAACTATATAAACTGATTATGCCACAATATAAGTACAACAAAAATTACCTTTTTTGCCATGGTTGCCATACTCTGGTTTTATTTAAATCAAGCTGAGAAAAATAGTTGTTGATTCCTTTCAGAACATAGTGAAACATGTTCATGTTGATTGTTTCACTAAAGTATAATATTAAATTCACCAGAGAGAATTTATGATGAAACATAATTATCAAGAATTCAAAAAAAAAAAACTTTTTATGGTTACCTCACATATTCAACTTTAAACAAATGAGCACGATTAAACGACATAAAAAATCTAAAGCAAAAAATATAAAATAAAAAAATGCTATAAATGAATTTTTGTTCAGTTTTCCATAAAATTTTGTTAAACTCTTAAAAAGCACCTGACTGCCCAAAAATAGTATGTTTCATCATTTTCTTGCATGAGTTTTCCAACAATGTTATTCTAAAAAAAAATTATATATATATATATATATACACGCACATACACACACACACACACACACACACACACACACACACACACACACACACACACACACACACACACACACACACACATATATATATATATATATATATATATATATATATATATATATATATATATATACATATATATATACATATATATACACACACATATATATATATATATATATATATATATACACATATATACCTCATTTTTCCTAACTCCGAGGGTTGATATATATATATATATATATATATATATATATATATATATATATATATATATATATATATATATATATATATATATATATATATATATATATGCAGTACTTGATAAATAAATATTATTGAATGATTTTTGATCAGCAAATTTAAAATATCATCCTGCCCAAGCACCGTTATATAATAAGGAAATGAGAGAGTTGACAGCTCTCCTGAACAGTAACCAACTGTCACAGAAGAGAGATCCGATTCAAGATCAGCTGTCTGTTCTAAGAAATCAAAAAGTGATGACTTTTTGGCAAGACTAGAGAATATAGTTATCATCAGGAAATAAAAATCAAGAAAATTATAGGTAAGATTATCAATAAGACCCTAGTTATAGATAAGGAACAATACAGAACCTTAGAAATGAAAGAGAGTGTTGACCATCAAAAACAATTTTAATACTGCAATTAAGAAAAAATTAAACTTTCCTAGTTAAGAGCTAAAGTACAAATTATCAGGATTCTTATAAAATTAACTTAATTGTTATAAAGTTTTAATTAACTGATCGTTAAATTAACTGGACAATCATCAAATTAACTCGACATATTTTTTGATAAGTAATTAGTAGGATTGTTTTAATTTACAATTAAATTACTCAGAAAGGAAAAATAGGATTCATAAGTGTTACATTAGAAAGATATCATTAGTTAGCTATTTGATTAATTAACTCAGAAATTAAAAAAGTTTATATATATATATATATATATATATATATATATATATATATATATATATATATATATATATATATATATATATATATATATATATGCACACATACTTATATGCATGTCATATTAATAATAATACAATAATATCAAAAAAAAAAAAAAAAAACCTTGACCACTCTCATCAAATGATTATAGCAAATTTCTAAAAACCTTTCGCAAAACTCTTTCAAAAATAATCTAAACATTGAACAAAGTAAAGTAGAAAAAAAGATCAACAAAAGGCATTAAATACTAAAGTAATTAGTAATTATATAATACTTAAACCTTATGCTTAAAGTGGAACTCCTTTCAACTGTAGTTTCATTGGCTGGTTTTTTCCGTTTGCTTACTTTAGCTGGATATTTGTTTTGATCAAAACTAATATCATCTACAGCTAAAGAATTACATTAAAACTTGATTTTTTCATGAGAAAAACATTTAAATATTATATATGTTAAAAGTCAATCCATTACATGTGACATGCTTGTGTTGGACAAGTGTGGTTTTGTTTCCAACCCCTTTCAAATTCATGACCCAAAAGCTTCCACCAAATCTTGAATGTCTAAAGAAAAAAAAAGAATCAAATTTCCTTTTTATTAAAAAATAAAATAAAATATATTTGGATTAAAAGACAACCTGGTGTTTGCAATTTTTTTTGAAGATACTTTTTTTAAAGCTTCTTCTTTTTCTTTTGCAACCAAAAATGCTCTAAAATTCAAAAATATTAAAATTATTTAACTATAAACAATTTTATTACTATATTGTTTAAAAATGTAAACATGAAAACAACAAACGAAAAAGATAATTCAAACCAAATAAAATTAAAAAAACACATAGGCCATAAAAAACACACAGACTCATAGGCCAAAGTGCCCTATAAAGGCCAGGTCTTATTAAGAACCAAGTTTGAGTTAGATTTTATTGCATTTACTTATTTAGTGGAACATTTATCTGATTGATGAATATAATTTTGTGTTTCTACAATATATCTATGTTTTGTTCTAACATTTATAAATGTTTTATTCAGTTTTAAGAAAACTTATTTTTATCAAAGTTAATCTAAGTAAATATTTTATACTGTCAGTAATAATATTTGGTTTTTTCAAGCAACTTTGAGACGCATTTAAAGCAATATTCTTTCAGTTACCGGGTTTTTGGTGTATTTTCAAGCAACTTTGAGACACATTTAAAGCAATATTCTTTCAGTTACCGGGTTTTTAGTGTATTTTCAAGCAACTTTGAGACGCATTTAAAGCAATATTCTTTCAGTTACGGGTTTTTGGTGTATTTTGATCTGTTGTGTTACTTTAATATTATTATGTACACTTTTTTCTTGGTCAATATACAACAGACAGAAGCATAAATATAACCTAAACACTCAGATTTCAAATAGGTCTTAATTATAGCCATTCGTTTGAACAAATAAGAGTCACGGCTCTTATTTGTAACTGATGTGGTTATTATTAGAACAATTGTTTAATTTTTGTGTATATAGACAATATTATAAACTATGTTTAAATGTAACATAGTTTAAATGTAAACATAGTTTAAATGTAAACTATGTTTAGTTTATATGTAAACTATATTATAGTTTACACACAATAAACTAAACTATTGTCCTAATATTAACTATAATTATTATTTACTTTACCATGTATAATTACTAAATATAATTAATTTTTACTTTATAGTATTTATAAGAGTTTACTATGTTTGTAATGTTTGTAAGTATGTAATTTTATATTATATAATATTTGTAAACATTTAAAATAATGGTTTGAATATTTATTATATAATTATATCCATAAAAACAAATTATTTTTAATATTTACTAGCTACATGATAATTTTAAAAACAAAAATGCAATTGCATACTTACAAACATTTATAATACATATATACATACCATGTGAATATGTAATACTAAATATAACTTGTATATATGTATTATGTAATGTTTGTAAATATGTAAGTTCATAATATATGTTTTTGTATATTTAATTTGATGCCCACTAAGCATACCAATGAAATTCTTCCTAAATCTATCTAATTATGTTTTAATCAAGGATTGTACTTATGTATGTTATGCCTGTATGATGTTATGCCTGAATGATGCATAGATATGTATGATAAGCATATTTTGTGCTTATATATGTATTTGTTTGTGACATCTGTGTATGTTATGAAAATATATTTAGATTATATTTATGTAAGGTCTGCTATTGTAGCTAGTATATGCTATCTTTTAGTTGAAAAACAACAAAAACTTGAAAAACAACAAAAATCACACACACAAAAAAAAATTAAAGAGGTTTCAGTGGTCCATCAGCAACGGGAAAAATGCTTTTTGTTTTTCAAAATAACTTTATGTTGCAATTGTTCAAAATAACTTTGTCACAACGAGAAGCTGTTGTACAATTTAGTATTCCTCAGTCAACACTTGGTAATTATCTTAAGGGAGATTCAGTTCTTGGCGTCAAACCCAGACCTAGTCCAAGATTACCTACAAATTTAGAGTTAAAAATAGTTAATTATGCTGCAATAAGAACTGCCCATGATTTGGATTCAGAAAAAAAACAATTTTAAAAATATGCTTTAGATTGAGCCATAAAACACAATTTAAAGTTTAAATGTTCAACTCCTTCAGAAAAATGGTGGCGCTCTTAATCTTTAATCAGTGATATGCAAATTTAGTTTTGCAAAAGCCTGAAGGTACTTCATCAGTTCGCCATCAATGCATGTCTGTACCAAAAGTAGCTAAATATTTCTATTCACTACATGAAGTTTTGAGGGATATGCATGCCCTTTTAAAGCCTTGGAATATGGATGAGTCTGGGCTACGGATGGATTTTAAACCTCCAAAAACAGTTACAAAAAGAAGTACAAAACACCTTCAATCTCGTACATCTGGAAAATGTGAAACCATAACCATATATTGCTGCTGTAAATGCTGCAGGTGGTTTAGTACCTCCACATTTGGTAGCAAAAGGTAAAACAAAAAGATCTCTTCATTATTTTAATACTGCACATGCACCATCAGGCTCAAATTGGAGTTTTAGTGAGACAGGTTGGACAAAGCAAAGAATTGCATTTCTTTGGTTTACCAATACTTTCTTGCCTAATATAAGTAGAAATAGACCACAAATTCTCTTATTCGATGGTCACGAATCTCATAACTTAGTTAAGTTATTTTGTGGGCTATTTAAGAAAGTCTGGGATCAAGCCCTCACAGCTGCAAATATTATTTCCGGGTTTCAATCATGTGCCATTTATCCATATAATCCGTCTGCTGTTCCAAGCACAGCTTACCTAATTCTGTCTATTCCATATAAGTTACTTGACAAATGATCTGCTTGAATCAAGTTTGCACCCAATCAAAACTGACACTAGAATAACAAGATTTCAAAATATAATAGAAGAGGTAGCCAATTTTGAAGTAGAATTAGACACAAATAAACCTGAAAGCATGTCTGAATGTCAAATAGATATTAATTAGGTAAACCTTGATAAAAATACTGCTTCTTTGATTTGGGATGCCCATTCAACTCATGAACAAGTTACAACTTTCAACTTCTGTATTCAAAAATGTCTACGACATCCCAGACTCTTTGTTTAAATTATATAAAGAATTCAAACTGAAACAGATTTCATGAGCAAATGCTTCTTTAGAAACAGATGACTATGACCAATGCCAAATGAAGTTCTTATTTCAATTTTAAATGAAACCATTGTTTAGCAAATTCCTGTAACAAACGAAATGACTGGGCAGTATAGTTTTTTTCTAATGAATCAATGATCATTGTAATCAGATGTCAATTGAAGCCATTGTTCATCCTAGTCTAACACCAATTTTTTTTTTTTTTTTTGTAATTCACCTCCCCAAGGCCGAGTAGGCCACTACAGAGGAGGCTACTTGTGGTTATAACTGAAAGATGAATCTTGACAAACAAGGCTGCTGCGTGGAGAAACAAGTTGTTATTTTGTGTACAAAGGATTTAACTAATGAGAGTGACAATGATATTTAGCCTTACCCAAAGATATATACTACCAAGACAAAAGAAAATCAAAAAAAGGTCAACTTCAAAAAATAATTGAAAAATGCTAAAAAAGGCCAAAATGAAGTTAACTGTAGTAGTTTTCTACTCATCAATAAGTCCTTACAGTTTAGTTTTCTGATTAGTTAGTATTATCTGCAACAAATAGACAAAAAATAATAGTGATACTTTAAACATAGTTTACACAATTAAGGAGTGTTATACCTCAAAGTCAAAGATCTTTGTTGTTTTACATAATTAATGTTAAACAATTTTTCATAAGAATTTCATAATACATCAAGAGGGTATTCATGATACATCAGGGGGCTTAAAAATATAATAAAATATAACGTCTATAATAAAAATAAATAATGATTAACAAAGGAAAAACTTGAAACTTGTTAGAAACCACTTAACTTATTAGGTTTAGTTTTCACTTTTTAATTGATAATTAGTTGCTCATGTTCAAAAAAATTAATACAGTATAATTTATTTAATCTTTTTTTTTATTAGATAGGATTAAAACCCCCTTGTGTTTTGGAGCTCAGGCTCATGTAATATGGCAATAATGTGCCTAACTGGATACGAATGAGTATCTGGTGTTTTTGGATATTTAAAATAATTGCCAGCTTTATGTAAATAGCTTACAGATATATAGTCACCTCTTATGAGACCTCTGTATTAGCTCCTCTTTAGATTATTTAGTAAAACAACTAGAACAAAAGTATCAGAATGAGTATTTCACAGAATGAGTATTTCACAGAATGAGTATTTCACAGAAAATAAACTACTTATCTTAGTTCCTCTCCAGGACCATTCAGGAAATAAAAGGTGAATTTAAAACAACATAATATATGGTAAAACAAGCTACAGCTTGTTTATACCATATGTAGACACTATGGTAATCCTTGGTGAGAGAGCAACTTACATAAGAAATAAAAAAAAAAAGACTTCCAAAGTTATAAATCAAATTGTCAACTTTTATGAAGATGATAGTAATAGCAGATTATCGCCAGGTGCAAAGGATTATATTAGCATAAAAACAGTTAAAAGTAGAAACTCATATTATACAATCATTCAGAACTATACCAAAAATCAATAAAAGAATTAAAGTCAAATGATATAGTTTAGGTGGGATTAACATCATTTGCTCTATTAACACCAAAACACTGTGTACTTGCTGGAAAACCTGTCACCTAACGTCTCTGTTTGTATCCACCATCAAAATCCAAATCTAATGGTAAAAGTATTCAAGTTAAAAGAAAAAAGAACTGATGGCGTTAGCTGTATGCTCATTAGAAAATAAATAATTGGTGTTTCACGAGTGTAAAAAGTATTCTGGAAAAAAAAGACTTAAAAAAAATTAAATGATCTGGTTGGCGATTCAGCAAATGAAATAACTTATGAGCAATGGTTGAAAACTGATAGATACTCCTTAGAAACAATAGTTAAAGCCTTGATGAGTTTCTTGAAAAGTTAACAAACAACTTATATAAACTCACAAAACATCATTATGTCAGTAAATTTCAGACATACTTTTTAAAGCAGTTAAAAAAAACAACCTGAAAGCATATCATTTGTCATACAGGATGAAACTCAGGCATCATATTTTTCTAAAAATCAGGCAACTATTCATTTGTTGTATATATAAGATCTTTAAATGGAAAACTGACCC